ATTGGCCTATCGTGAGTGGGCGGCCCGATTAAATGACCTAGCCAGTGCACGACGCCAGTCGCGTCAATCAGTCACCTCACATTGATGCGGTACTGGCTCTCTCTCCTCTCCCCTTTGTAAATACTATCAGAGAGCTAAATACACGCATTTTTTAGCATCTCTTTTCTCGTTCTGACTTGTATCAACATAGAACTTGGTATTTCTCTGCTGAATTCTAAGTGGACTTGTTGGGGTAGACTAATATTGAGTCCAGCATTTGATAACAGGCTGCGCTTGAATGAGCAATAAAGAAAAGATTACATGAAACAGTTTTGTAACTTTGGGAAAAGTGCCTTTGCATAGTAAACACGTCTGAATTGCTTTCCTTAAAAGCTTTGAGATGTCATCCAACTAATAGCTGACAGCTAGCACCTACACGGCAGCTGTCAACTTACCGATTCGGATCTGCTGACCGCTCAACATTGATTTCTTCAGTAAGGAATGTCTCCTCGTCTGACCTCCCTTGTAACTCCACTACGGCGTACACTGTCCACTCGAGCCTGGCGTCCACTGGTCCCCGAAGGCAAGGCTCTCATTGGCGGAGAGTGGAAGGCTGGGTCGGGCGGTCATATGTTCCCAGGTGTCGTTTTGTTTACGTCTACTGATTTATAGATGCTCTCTGATTAACTTTTTAACTTTTTGAAACACCTAAGCATTTCTGAAGATGGTGGGTTCCTATGCTCTTCTTGGTGTAGTAGGTAAAAACAAAATTTTCTTACCCTTTCGTACGACAAGCAGGAAATCTCATTTTTTTTTTTGTTTGCTCGTTAGTCTAATCGAATAAATACTGTCAAATAGTACTTGAAGGGCTAATTACCAGTCATCAGAAAATTTCCATAATTCGCAGACAATCAGTAGGGCGGAGGTAGTCGTAGTGCGATTTACCCGTTGAATGAATTGCCTCTAATTTTAATTGTAATTCACTAATATTTTAAAATCTTTACACGATGTTTCCCGAGACATTGCCTTGCCCCCCGTTCTAATAGCTTACCATTGTTCAGTTTTAAAGCGATGCTAAACCTCTATGTAACTGCAAACCTCTTCACCTAGAATGCCATATTGACTTTGAACTCGTAAACGCATAAGCTTCAAGCCACCTGAATGGAATATTACTGTGCATTTCTTGGCCACATATTCGTAATTTAAGAATTTATTTAATTCATCATTTAAGTGTTTAGTCCGGCCAAGGAAGAACAGATTGCCGAGGTGCCGTGTGCATCGTCTGGGGAGGATTTGGACGCCTCTATCGAGGCTGCTGCCGAGGCACAACCAGCCTGGGCTGCACTTACGGTGGGAGCTCGGGCTCGTGTTCTGGAGCAGTGGGCTTCCAAGTTGGAAGAAAATACTCCCTTGCTGGCTCAATTGATAACAGCTGAAAATGTACGATACTCTCATATTCAAGTATATTGTGCTGACGCTACATCCTGTCTCACTGCTTTATTAGACGTAGGACAAGCCATGTCGTGGAAAGGGTAAAACGGCTAAAATCTTCGACCATTTTTCTAAATTAAACAACCCTCTGTAATTCATCATCCTAGTCCAAAATGAAACAGGCAGTTGTATGCAAAGCGTACTTGCATAAAATTCATTATATGATTAATTTTTTTGTTAGTGGGATGGGATTGTATTTGAATAACAATTTAAATTTCATATGATCTATTTTTCAAGAAAGGCACGAATTCGTTGTATTTCACATCCTTCAAAGTCTATTTTTCGCTCATTTTAAGCACATAGACTATAAAACAAATACTTAAAAGGCGTCCTACTGGCTGTTTTTTTACTTTCCAGGGCAAAGTAGACTCAGATGCCCGTGGGGAGATCTCTTCGGCCATTCAACAGCTCCGCTGGTACGCCAACGAAGCGCGTGCCACATATGGACAAGTTATTCCCTCAACCAACGTTCCTGGAAGGCGGTTGATGGTTGTTCATCAACCCGTTGGTGTTGTTGCCATGATAACCCCTGTGAGTTCGTGCTGTTATTGTATTTTCACCAGACACTACTTATTTCAGTGCAAGTAGCATCAACATAACCAAGTAACTTCTACTTTGAGAAAATAGGTAAACCGTGTACAAAGTTAAGGGCCTACTTTTGTGTCTCATGCTTTGTGAATTAGGAGTAAAATATTGATGTCGCTTCCCTGCCTGATTACAAGCCGTTTTTTTCTCCCCAAATTAACTTGTTTGTAATCCAGATTTGGAGTTTTCATTATTCTTGACCTGACCACATAAATACTTTTTCCTTGCAAAATTTTCATAATCTAAAGCAACAAGGAGATGCACTTAATGCTTTTGTAAACTAATTTTCTTGTAAATTTGTTCTTTGAGGTTTCATTATTGTGATATATGGTTATTTAAGGCAGCTCCTGCAGTTCCAGTCTTAGTGAGTCATTAAACGTCATATTTGTCACTGGGTTCGGTAAAAGGACATTGAAATTCTTGAATTGATATTCTATGAGCATCTAGCACTGGCCACACTTTTTACTTTGAAGATATTTGATTATTTGTTCACTTTTCCATACCTAAACGTTACTACACTAAAACATTTGGAATTTGCAGCAATTTTGTAGGATATTCAGTTACTCCCGGTAATTATTTCAATGTGTAATCTTATTTTGGATTGGTTGTGTGTGTAGATGGTTATATATTTGCCAACACACTTCAGCGCTTAAATAGTGCACATAAAGCATAACTTGAAGTCACTTTAATTTTTGAATCATCCTGAATATTCCAAAATAGGGCTTGCGCGGGGTATGTTCGTCTGTAGTGCTTTAAAACTTTTACCATTTATATTTCTTCGCTTCACCTGCTACCGTTTTGGTAGCGGAAACAATACGCAGTTATTGTCATTTATGGTATTAAATGCATTATCCTCTCACAGTGGAACTTCCCTCTCTCCATGATGACACGCAAGGCGGGTGCAGCTCTAGCGGCGGGATGTGCAGTTGTTTTGAAACCTGCCGACGAGACACCTCTTACCGCTCTTGCTGCCGCATTCCTAGCAACCTCTGAGGCTGGGCTTGACCCCCGTCTGCTCAGTATCCTCACCTCGCCGCGTGAAGATGCAGATGCCGTGGGAAAGGTTTTTTGCTCACACCCCCTTATACGGTTGGTCGGATTCACCGGCTCCACTAATGTCGGGAAGGTAGGCGGCAACGTATCGTCTACTTAAATGACTTAAGTAACACGCCTTCACAATCCAGAACAGTTGAATCAAAGTGTGTACTGCATTTAAGGATGCCTTCCTATAAGTTCAAATTCAAGTAAACACCCCTTTTTCCAAGAATTTGCAATAGCTTATTCACCCTCATCGTGCCTGCCACGTCACTGCTGGATGAGGGCTTTCATGTTAAACGGTTCACTTTTGGTCATGGACTGGGTAATCCGTTTTTCTCGCTATCTACGAAGAAATTAAATGAAGTCGGTTCTATTTTAAACAACGACCAACTTTCCTCTTAAATTTTTCAAAGAAATTGTATGCGGCCGCTGCGACGCATATGAAACGCGTGCAACTGGAGCTAGGTGGTAACGCCCCATTCATCATCTTCGAATCAGCTGATCTCGATTTGGCTGTTTCTCAGCTAATCGCATCCAAGTTCCGTTGTTCCGGTCAGGTATGCATATTAGACATAACATGGTTCGTTGAAATCGAGATTTCTACTTTTGGTGGGAAATGTTACTAGTGTATGGAATTGCTGTCGGTATTTGCGCCTCAGCCTGCACGTCACACATAAGTGACACGTTTAAATATAAAAGAATGAAGTAGATTGAAATTTTGTGCAGTTAATGACTACCATCTTGGCTTAATTTGACCGCCGTGAGATTTTGAGCCAACTTTTTGAATAGTGATTGGCCAAGGATCCTCACGCAAGTCGTTAAAGGCGAATTTTAAGAATTATCTTAAGTATCCCCTACATGTTGTCATACGAATTCCAGCTTTGATTAGTGAATCGACATTCTTGATTTCGTTTTATTAATACCGAACTAGTTAAGTTGCTGTGCTCCTCTCTTCTAGACGTGCGTTTGTGCCAATCGGATTCTCGTCCAAGAATCAATTTACGAGACCTTTGTTGATATGCTAACGACTGCTGTTGGCGGACTTGAACTGGGAAAGCACCAGGGACCGCTCATTAACAAGATTGCTCTTGACAAGGTGTGATCATGCTACTTACTGCCGAATTAAGTAACTACTTGGCATATTTTCTCCATATTGATAGAAGGGCTTATTATCTTTTTTAGCACCGCATCTTACATAGCCAAATACCTTCTCGTACCAGTGGAACCATTTTAATTTGAAACGAGCTTGTTTTTATTTTCATTAGAGATTAGTTGTAAAGAAATTATGAGAGAAATCACGAGGTTTTGTAAATATCCTGTTGATGATTGACAAATAGCAATGAACAAAGGTTTAACGGTGGTTGAGGAACGTGTCATGTTACCATTTCCACCTGGAAACCCAGTCATTGTTGGCTCGTGTAAGAGTTGCCAACTTGGGGTAAAAGTCGTTGCAAGTCGGGGGTATGGGAATGAGGTTCTCCCTCGCATAACCTACCATAAGCTATTGCAGAATCTTGCAAATGATCGTACTGGTGCATGTAGGAGCTTGGACATTTAATTATTCCTGACTATTGCCACAAAAGAGTGAAGAGAATAAAATACTGGAATAAATTCATGAATACCGAAAAATGATTATTTCAGGGAGTGCGGGAAGCAGAAATTTATTTAACTTTCTCTACTGACGAGAACTCTAGTAGAGCACTTGCGGTGGTATTGATAGTTAAATCCCTAATCTGCGTCAGCCGTATCACCGAGCCAACTCGGATGGATAACGTCCCTTGTATCTACCTGTGATCGCACTACCAAATAGAGAATTACTTAAGTTGAATAGTTCGAAGACTTTATTCTGACCATTATACCGATAAGGAGAACTATTCAAACTAGTTCTGTTGTTCTCGCAGGTAGCGTCAATGGTTGGAGCCGCTGTGCGTGAGGGTGCGGTAGCGGCAATTGGCGGAAAGCGCGCGTCCGTCGATGGTCGAGGCCACTTCTATTCTCCTACGGTGCTCATAAACGTCGCCCCCAACATGTCCTGCGGTCGGGATGAGATTTTTGGCCCCGTTGCGCCCATAATCAAGTATGTTTGTGCTGCTCTCCTTCCTCACAATATTTTGACTACCTCCAAGATTGCTCCCGCCAATGAAAGAAGTAGAGTTCTTTGTCAAGGAATGCATTGAAAATATTGGTTATATTTGGTATGCCTCAACGATCTTGAGGAAGTCAGACGAAACTGGTGAAAATACCCGCGTTCAGTGACTTTTGCTACGTGTTTTTATAGGTCATTGACATCTCGGGAAAAGATTGCAAGAGGCTATTTACATTCACATCGGTCTGATGTTAAAGAGGAATATTTGATTAATCCATTTATTTTAGTTACTAATTACCTGGATTCTCTCAGCTATATTTGCATTTAGTCTCTCTCCACTGCCAATTGCGTTGAATTAATGTCAAGTTTTCCCCTTTACATCCCAAGACTGCCAATGTAAAATTAACAACAATCACAAGTCCACTGCTTGGTCATTATTCGTGACTTCGTTGAAGAGTTACATCTTAAAAGTAGTTAATAGTTTCGGTGTATTTGCAATTCCATTTATACTTTAGTAAAGTATACTAATATCTTTCGAGTCAAACCGCACATTGGAAGTTTGACTAAATACCTGGGGAGCTTCAAGAGAAAAATATCTTCAATGATGCTGAATCATGGCATAGCAAGAACAGAAGCCTTGCTTGCAGACAGAATTTAGCCCCGAATTCAGCTTTTATAGAACACCTTGTTTTTAGGCACATTGTACTTTGTAATTATTAAATGCCATGAAAAAAATTCTAATCACATGGAAATATGTCAAGAGTGTAGGAATGATGCATCGCCTTAGGGATGCCGAGTGGCGGATCTATGAATTGCCACTTATTTATAAGACCTTGTAGTTCTGCTTCAGAACTTGCGGAAATCGTTAATATTATTGAGTTTTAAATGGATTTCAAATAACTCAAGGGC